CGAACTCCCAACTCTTGAGCCACGATCGCCCCAATAAATAAATGTAACAAAAGAAAGAAAGAAAAAACTCACCGGCCTTTAAGGTTCTCCAGCTCACGGTGGTGGAGCATGCTTCTCGTGTGCTCATCCATCTCCTGCAGGTACATATTCATAATAAAACATTTTTTAAGGCGAGGTACAGAGAAACACATCAAAACACGTAGTTTTAGTTTAGTCAGGCAGTAAAAAGCCCCTGCATGAGCCTCATAAGGCATCACAGCATCACAACAATGAGGAATATTAAGAAATCTCATAGGTGGTTAAAAATAGGTATAATAAACCTAACTACAAGTATCAAAACCTTGCACACCTGAGAGTGTAGATACATGCCACGGTGATCAAATACTTATTATTATTTACTTTGTTTTTAAAGTGTCGACATATTTATAGTGTAAATCAAATTTCTGGGTCAGTTACCTGCTTGGAGACATAGACGGTTTCACAGAGGATGCACTTTCTGTCTCTCGTCATTTCGAATGCAGATGAATCTCAGCCCATTACTGCCGAAAGAGAGAGTGTTGTTTAACTTATGTGACGCCTCCCTGGGTGGATGTACCTGAGTTTTATTTCACAAGAACAAATAATTATGGGCTGTAACAGTGCCCATACTGTATGAAGAAAAGTGACACGTCAACCAACAAAATGAAAGGAACTCAAAGCTTTTTTTTCCTTTGAGCAGCCACACCTAACTATTCAACAACATGCTTTGGTACCACAGCCCAAATACCAACAAAGTTCAACCTGATCACTAGTCTAATTCCAGTCTGCTGATAGAGCAGCTCTATGGCCAGAAGGCAGAGCGATGTCTGGACGTGTTCAACACTCACAAACAGGGGGAGGAATAAACACCGGCTACAAGTCAACTGCTGGTCAAGGTCTACACCAACACTGCCTCATGTGTGACCACATAAAGGATTTTACTTTATCCCCAAAATACTGCTGGTTTATGAATTTGGGGATCCAAAACATATTCAGAAAAAGAGAGAAAATTTGCAGTAGTTCTATTAATGTTTAAACATTAATAGAGCGACAAAATACTAGTATGGAAAAACAAACTACCACCCTGGAAACTGGAAAAACTGGCAGTCAAGCCTTTCGACAAACAATGACAAGGTGAATATTTGATTGACGAGTGGATAAAGACAAAAACAGTAGGGCAAACCTTGTCTCACACTCACACACACACGGTACAATTCAATTAAAAAGCATTTGGCCCACTTCCTGACTTTCTATTTTGTATTTTTGTATATTTTTCACACTTACATGTTCAGGTCCTGAAGCAGCAAAGCAGCCCCAGACCATCACACTAACACCACCATGCTGGCTTGCTCCCATGATGTTCATTTTATGAAGTATTACGGTAGTTTTACATTAGATGTAGCGGGACCCAAACCTTCCAAACAGTTAAACTTTTATTTTATCAGTCCACAGAGTATTTTCCCAAAAGTCTTAGGGATCATCAGAATGATTTTCTATAAGCAAATGTGGAATAATTTTGGAAAGCCAACTGCCCCTGTGAAGGCTCCAGTGAACCACTGTTCTCACAGTGGTTCACTGGAGCCCCAATTACAGAGAAATGGCTTTGTAATCCTTTCCAGTCAGATGTCATGTGATTTTGACTTTGTTTCTTTAGATCATGGTATCATATATTCCTTTTTGAGATTTTTTTTAGCCTACTCCACTTTATCAGAGAAATTCTATTTAAATTATCTATTGATTCAACAGGTTTATGAAACTAAACTCAGCTTTCTGAAAAATGTGATTAATCACAGTTAATTCATGATTCGGAGTGGGTTATTTTTTCACACTAAACCAGCTGTGTTTGGACAGCTTTTTCCCCTTAATAAATGAAACCATCATTTAAAAATCACATTTTGTTTTTACTTGAGTTATCTTTGTATAATATTATAATTTGTTTGATCTCACTTTCTTCGCTTTTACAGCACAATTTCCATTAACACAACTTTCCAACTTTTACCATACAGAAGAAGTGATCAGGTGAAATAGTTTGACAGTAAGAAAGGGTACTCTTGTTTTAGAAGTGCCTTAAAATACCTTTGAAGGGCTATCTTTTAACACATTTATAAAACGCATGAGTGAGCTGCTAATTTTCTAAAGAGCAGCCAGGAGGACAATGTTAGATATCCAGTGAACTTCTGCACAGTTATGTTAGCAGATCAGGCAGCTGTGCTACAACGCTTGAAAACAGGCAGGGGGCAGTTAAAGAAGTTCCATGTCAAGTCAGTTTGTTTACATGCCACAGTTAGGATCTCATCTAATTTAGAAACCACAGAGAACATCTTCTACTGACGTTTCCCCAAGCTCATCACAACAAGGTACTTCATCATCAAAGCTGTGCCTAAATAAATACTTAAAATTCAAATGCACATATGACCAAAGTACTTGGAAATTTTAGTTAGCATGCTAACTTTGTGCAAAAGTTTACCACCAGTCGCATGACATTTTATTATGATGTTATCAAACACACTAAGGTAATAAAACGTTATAGTAAACGTCAAACCACAGCTTTATTGCTGTTTTAAACTAGCTTATGGTTAAATAAAGTCCTGGGTCCTTGATTGTTGTTAGCCTAGCTGTTTCTAGTTGTACAGTTAGCTGGTAAGTATGCAAAAAAGCAAAATAACGTGACTCAAAAACTAGCTTAAATACAAGCTGACCATCCCACTACCAAAGTAATAAAAAAGGTTATTACGAATTATGATTATTATTATTCAGCAGAATTTACTTGAACTGTTATTGAAAGCTAAGCTAGTAAGTTAGCGAGCTAGCAACAGCATGATAGCTGCCACATGAACACGCCAGTAATGTCCTTAACTTATTAGCAATTAAAAGGTGATGAGGGAGCCCGACTACAACCGAATGGTTTTACACACTGTAGACACTTAGATGTGACTGATTGCTACCTTCACAACATCCAGATGTGTGTAGGACTACTGCATTTTCTCATCCATCGCTGAAGCTAATAACAACATCCGCCTCCTCGCCGCGCCCCCAAACGGAGCACCAACCCAAGATGCGTTCAGGACCATTTCGGATTTAGGAAACCAGGACGCCACACAGAGACAAAAATGTCTAATAGAAAAAATTAACTGAAATGGCACTTTACAAATAAATAAATAAATAAAAATTCAAAAAAAAAAAAGTAAATTGCCAGTGCTTTATATCCATTCCAGCTCCATAATTTTTAAACAACTTTCTGATTCACTGTCATTTAGTATTTAGTCCTTCCCAGGTCTTAGTATTAAATCCCAGATGAACAACTGCACATGATACAGTACACTGTAGTACTGTTTATTTAACAAAAAGTAAATGAAAATAAAGTGTGTGTAAAACTGAGTCCACCCCACTGTAGAAGCACATATATCAGCAGTAACTTGAAGCATCCGTTTTCCATCCATCTATTTTCTTCTACTTAACAAATTTGTGGTCCCCTATTCAAGGTAAATCCAAACATATAGATAAAATCAAGTATCAGTTTGTCTGGGAAAGATATAAAGTCTGGACAGTCTACCCATTGGTACCGTGTAAAATTAAATTTGGCAGTAAAATACAAGAGTAAAAACATATTTATTTTGAAAAATCAGTAAAAGACTGAATTTTACACATAACTAACAAATACATTTAAACAGCAAGATTTCAACATATCGATACATAACGATGAAATGAATCTAAATGAAAAACAGCAGCACTGCTGGAACATATGTGCTACAGAAACAAACTACAAATTAAAAACGGTTCTCAGAAATCCCTTTAGAGTCTTTAAAATAGTATTATCACTTTCAGAACTGAACCAGTCCAAGATATAACAAAAAAGTTCACATTTTCTCAGTTTTACACTTAAAAACAACTTTTAAGAAGTTTTAAAAGTGTCTTGGCTTTCAGCAACATTTTCTTGAGTGTGCGTGTCAAACGCAGTGTTTATTGGACGTTTTAGAAGATGTTTGTGAAGTACATCTTCTTTTGAAATGCAGTAACTAAATATTGGCTCTTAAAGAAAATGAATCTAGCAATAACAATAATCTAGTAATAATCAGTTATTACTGCCAGCTTACATGTTAAAAGAGAAGCAGTAACATCTACAAATGTAATTCATAAGCATGCCCTAGTGCTAATATTTCTCACCACTGATTACAAAAACAGTGCCTGTAGTGACCTGGAAAAAGCAGCTGTGTGAGAATAAAGCTCAGCTCCATCAGATCTTAGAGTTTGGATATTGTAAGATTGTGTCTTGTCTGCAAAGTGTTTCAGGTTAGATGGTTCAGTTCCCGTGCTTTATTCCTCAGATGCCTCTTGCGCATCTTGATAGTCCACTTAATAGTGAGTTTGGCAAAATTGGCAGCTTTGAAGAGAGCCATGAAGACCCCACAGAGGATGGCTATAGAGCTCCAGGCATTCGCAGTCACTATCTGTTTGGAAAGAAGCAAAGTTTTGTCGAACAATGAGCAATTCGTGCAAGCACACAATTCAAATAAGAAGAAAACTTCTGTGAGAACATACCAGTCGGATTTCCTGCATAAAAGGATCTCGCCACTCAAACACGGCAAAGTAGAGCTGATCGGTTTGTGCCCCTTCAGGCCTTTTATCGTTGAATTTCACCACAGAAGACTAGACCATTCACCATAAATAATCAAATTAAAAACTTTCAATTCAAATGTCATCATGCATGGAACTACATGTAAACTGTTGGGACATAAATACCTCTTGTCGAAACTCGACGGCTTCATTTTTTACACCAGATGTTGTCAATAATGACATTTTGACCCATGTTCTGAAGCCTCCAGAGAAGGTCCACATGGAGTAATTCCTCTCACAGTCCCTCATAAACTCGGATTTATTTGCACTACAGGCAGAAAACAGGCACATATGCTGCTATCACACAAATCACCGTTAACACTTTGCAAAACATCAAGCTTCGAGTGTCTTATTAAACAGTGATTACCTGTCAATCAAGTCACTAAACTTGGCAAAAAGCATGTAATTGATGGCACTGAAGTCCTCCTCTGTTTCATTGCGACTGAACTGCATGAAGATCAGTTCTTTGTTACGGACGTCAGATGGCCCACGGACCACCAGAGCTTTTTTCTGTAACAGTATAATAGTATGTAAATCCAGTGGAGACAATTTTGCAGTTATGTTATAGCTGCGCATCTTTAGGATTGCTCAGACTTGTGGGTCATGTCTGAGAAACAACCAAATAAAAAAAGTTAATTCTGACCTCTGTTTCGTTCACGAATGGCCCAAAGTAGATCACTTCTGTTATGTTACAGTCTACTTCTTGAGGCTTGCCGGGGTCCACTAAAGGTGGGATGTAGTCATGGTAGTGATGTTTACAGCTGAGCAGCTGGGCTTTGCCGGGGTACAGAGCTATGCCTGCTCAAAGAAAGTAAACAGAGTCTGCATCAATGTTCTTCAACAGCAGTGTTTATGGACTCACTGCCATTTACTTGTTTGTTCTACGTGGAGGTAAAAATGTACAATTTTGCAACGGGTGCCTCCAAACACGTTTTATTTTGGTGACGCAGACGAGGACACTTAATGCATTTCAAAATTCTTCCATGTGTCTCTCATCCACAGAGAACAGGATTTGTTCAGCTGTTGCTGACTATTTTCATGGATGTCTTTTCAGATGGAGATTTAAGGCTTAAGGGACTAGCTGAAAAAAAATACAGAGAGCGTGTATTGTTTAAAGAATAAACCGCATTATCTTCTAAAGCAAAAATGAAAGACGAAAAAGAAAAAGCACCTTGCATTGCATGTCTGCAACAACTGACCAAGTCACATTTGATAAGCTGCAATTTTAGAGAAGTTTTCAGATTTAATACACCCTCTGGTGGCCACACAGCAGGCAATACAAATTATTCACACATAACTAGCGCCTGCCTTCTGTCACAGTGTTATTCAATTATTTTGTCACCAACAATAATTTGGGGCTTATTGCGATAGAAAACAGGCCAGGTGTGAAAATGAAAAGGAGCAAAGAAGTATTCATTTCTAAAATCTTTGCCAGGGTGGATCATCTGGCTCCATCTCACTCTATCCCCAGCATCCTCCTCTGTCACACAAACCCTCTGCATGTCCTTTTCACTACATCCATGAGCCTCCTCTGTGGTCTTTCTCTTCTCCTCCTGCCTGGCAGCTATATCCACCATCCTGCTCAACCTGAGCTGGTTCTCTCATGGACTCATCTCTAATCTTGTCCACACTGATCACTCCCATTGAACATTTTAACCTCTCAACTCTGACAACTCCAGCTCTGCCTCCTATCTCAAAATCATACATCATAGCAGGTCTCACTACTATCTTGTAAACTTTTCCTTTATCTAGTGCTGCTATCCTTCTATTGCACCTTTGACACTCCTCTCCATTATCAAATGCTTTCTCTTGATCCACAGACACACTGAAACTCCTTCTGACCTTCTCTATATTTCTCCATCGACACTCTCAAAGCAAACATCCCATCTGTAGTGCTCTTTCTCTTCGTGAAGACATGCAACTGCTCACTTAGCTTCAAAATCTCTGTCCCATATCTTAATGGCATGGTTAATCAGCTATATCCCCTTGTATACTCAGATACTATATTCCATCTAGTGCCACGACAACCACTACATGAAGAGCATGTGTTCCTCCTTCCTGCTAAATGCTGATAAAGGCAGATTTAAATGCTTATAAAAAAATGGGAAGTGTTGCTGTGTAGTGCAATCTGTATTTTCTGGATGAAATGAGTTAGCTGTTGTTCTATGTTTTGGACATAACAGCACACTTAACACCCACTAACCCAGTCATAGTCCTAAAATATGCCCCAAAAAGTGCATCATTCATACTAACCAGGAGATGAAAATGAGTCAACCTCTTTGTAAATGACGGACATAACGGGGTTGTTTAGTTTCTCCAAGAAGTCAGAGATCGTCTGGTAGGCCAGGAATGCTGCCACCGCAGTCAGCAGCAGGTAGATGAAGATGAGCACCACCGTGAAGAAATTCTTCAGACAGCTTTTACTGAATCTCATAGGTGGATTGGTCCCCCTAACGTCATCCTGTGCTGTAGGGACAAAGGGGTAAAGGCAGGAATCTGAGTGGACAAATCCGATTAAATGCCACAAAAGCGTGGGCCAATAAAAAATATATCAGTGTAATGAGTGTCCAGCATGTGGTGCAGAAACAGATCTCCTACTACTTTGTGAGATGCTGCTATCAGGCTTCTCATGCTCCGGGTCTTCAGTGGCATCATCAAAAAAGACTGGAGACGGTGCGTTGCCTTCATCTTCATCTCGCCCCCCGTCATCATCCTCATCCTCATCATTGAACTGTGGGGTTAAAAAAAGAACATTTAAACACACATTTCTGGTTACAAGTATAGTAAAACTATACTTAAAATCCTAACAATTATTAAGGTGGGGTCACATTTGTATCCAGTTTAAGTGGAGCGAAATAGCACTCTGAGATCTTCAGTTAATGATGAATCAAACGTAATACAAAACCCTTTGCTGGCAATGACAGCCTAAAGTTTTGAACTCATGGACAACATCAGATTGCTGGGTTTCCTCCTTTTTAATGCTTTGAGGCCTTTACTGGAGCAGCTTTCGGTTGCTGTTTGTATGTGGGCCTTTCTGTCTGAAGTTTAGTCCTCAACAAGAATAATCCACTTGTCCACTTCTTTGCTTTAATAAGCAAAATAAAGGTTTGTTTTGGATGCATGTTTTAGGCCATTGTCTGTCTGTGTTGTGAAACAGTTGGCTGCATTTAGCTGGATTTAAGCAGACTGAATGTCTCTGAACACCTCAGAATTCATTCGGCCCCTTCTGGGGAAGTATAATCTTCCACAGGAGATGCTGATCCAGTTCTAAACTGCAGTCATTGAGTCTGTCCTGTGGTATGGAGCAGCCACTAAACAGGACAGGTGCAGACTGCAGCGGTGCCTGAAAGGCATTCAACCTATTGAGTTTGTGTTTCTTTATTCGTTATTGGGTGAATACCTGAAAGACAGTAAGTTTTATATATATACACACTATTGTTTTTGGTATATTGTTCCCTTCTCAGTAACGCCACACCTTTTAGTCGCAATGTATTCATCTTCCACATGTTAACTTGTCATATTTTAGTAGTATGTAAACATCTGTTATAGTTACATGTTTTCATATCATATATAACATCAGTTTGTTTTTGCTGACTTCACCAGTGCTTTCTTTCTTTCTCAGAATGAATAGGGCTGTTGGAATGGTGCAGGGCAGTTTTTATGCTCAATATCAGGTTATATCAAACAGCAGACCTGTATATATCAGAGTTATTATAGTATCGTATTTTCAAATTGGGTTTTATTTTTTCATTTTGACTTTTTTTTTAAACTCACTAGTTTTTAGTTTCCTCAGCACATTTTCTTGTTTGAGTTTAGTTTTTATTTTTGGAAGATGTTTAGTTTTATTTTAGTTTTTACTAGTTTCAGCATTAGTTCTAAAAAATTGAGTTCTATTAAAGTTAGTTATAAAGTTAGTTCTATTAGTTAATCTTTTTAATTATTACTCTATGGAGGACATGCGTCAGAGGCAGGATTTAGGAAAATGAGCTCAGATATTTCAATAAAAACCCAAAACTTTGGGAAAGCAGTGACATCGACCAGCTGTGAATTTTTGGACACAGCTGGTCGATGTCCATCAATGTCTCATCAGGCAAGTTATTATTAAAACTTTATCAAACTAACAGATACTAAAGCTTAATATTTTTCCCTCTACTTTTTTACTTAATTTGGTTTAGTTTTTTTTGTTCATTTTTGTTAACTAAAATGTTGTTTTCAAGTCTAGTTTTAGGACTTAGTTTAGCTTCAGTTGGCTATAATGACCTTGGCCTGTATCTTGTTCAATTCAGTTAAATCCACAAAGAGCAGTGAACCTTAGAGAAGCAGGGACACAGGTCAGCCGATAATGGTTACACACACACACACACACACAAAACAAATCTGCTCGAGCTCACAGTACACATTTTCACATCTTGTAATTATTTTCTTTAAATAATTTTAGGATTCCCTCATCTGTTAAATCTGTTCAATCCCACTTTAACCCCTTCTTTTAAGACCCCCGTCTCAAAAGAAATTATAAAATATCGAAAACAGTAACATTTCACTACTTTTGCCTTCTACAAACCTGACATTTAGTCACCACAACAATGATTACTGTTTCTTTCATTTCACTGACCTGCAATCAAATACTCCAATGACAAAACAGTTTAACTTATCTGGTGTTGATATTTAAGGTCACTGGTTATAAGTTAAAGGTAATGTACTTACAACAACAAAAATACACATTTAAAAAAAAGTATCACACTGTCGGTTTTACATTATGTCCAACCCATCTTTCAGTAAGGAGAGCCTAAACAATGAAAACACCTGACAGCACCACAAACTTAATGACCAAGTCAGCGCTGGCTCCAAATACAAGCAAGGCTTTAAAATGGCCATACCGACCAGTGGTTTTAAAAGGTTTTACGCCATTTCTGCAGCTATTTTAAAGCTTAAAATAAGAACTGGCGAATAATCTAAATGAATACTGCAACTATAGCTAAAACCCAAAGGAAACATGAAGTCAGGAAGCGGCTGCTCAGTCACATGATGCCAAATATGCCCGACAGGAGCATGGACACAGCGAGAGAAAAAGACTTTACTGCTGTCCTCAGAGACAATAAAAAAAAGAAGCCTACAGTCTGTAGCAGTCCTGTGATTACTGAAACAAACATGAAAGATTTCAGAGTGAAACACAAACACGAAGGAACTTGGAACTTACCTCCTGGTATGAGAGGGACCTTCCTTTTCTGAGCATTCCTCTGCGGAACTTCCAGTGACTTCACCTAAAGCAGCTCTTCAAGCTTTTTGTGCCAACTCAGCAGATTGCTCCTAATAAACCTGACATGTTTAAAAACACCTCATTCCACCGAGCTCAAGTCTCACTGTTTAAAAAAAAATACACCAGCACCCACCCCTGGGGTTTTTTGGAGAAGTAGATAAAGGCCCAACCCACGATAATAACAGGGGACCCATGGGCCGCGATTCAATGCGATCTTGTTTCCTTGTTGTGGCTTCCTTGTGTCCTAGCTCGTTACCTTAGGTTGATTCCTAATGCTGCGTTCAGGTACTTATGAGAAAACTCATTTATCTAAAAAAAACAAAACATACTACTGCGACAAGAAACCGCATTTTTACTGAAATGCCACCCATTCCTACAAGTTTATTTTTTACTCAAATGAACTTGACTATGGTGTTATGTTTTTCATAAGATATTTATGACATTTTTTAAATTTATGTCTAAATAAAATCTATACAAATGACAAATAAATGCACAAAAATCACATCTTCATCGCGTATAGTCCAGAATATAAACAAATATCAGCGAGAACTGGTTTAAAATAATGTCAGTGAAATTTCCGAGGCTTTCAAATGCATCACGACCAGAGAGTACCTGGGCATTGAAAGGGAAGTGGATGAAGAAGTTTCCGCCTGAACTTCTTGTTTAAACAACGACCTTGCCATGGCAACAGCGCGATTTTGTGTCTTATTTATCATCCTCGCCGTGGCTTTAGCGGAAGATGCTAAAGTAAAACACAAAACTGCTCCAAAACCTGTCCGTTTATTCACCGAGGAGGAGCTGCAGAGATACGACGGCAGCGAGGTAAACTGTTGGAGAAATAAAATCCCGGCATGTGCTGCTGAAAATGAACGCGCGTGTCTGCTTGTGCGTGCATTTTTTATTATTATTTTTTGTTAAGAGTCATCTATATTTATCATCGCTCTTTCTTTTCCTATTATAGGAGGGCCAGCCTATTTATATGGCAGTAAAAGGGGTTGTGTTTGATGTCACCAAGGGAAAAGGTATATGTAGAAAAAACATTATCTAACTCCTGGATTCAAATCAGTCATTAAACTCAGTTCTAATAAAAAGTGGTTTAACACATTAAAAGGCTTTCCAGCTTCTCTATAAACTAACCTGACTCGGGTCATTTGCTTATTAGTCTCTGCAGTCAGCGCGTTGATTTTAATGTGCATTTTATTTCACCCATTCCAGAGTTTTATGGAAAAGATGCTCCATATAATGCGCTGGTAGGTAAGGACTCCACTCGAGCTGTGGCCAAGATGTCACTGGACCCCGCAGACTTGACATCAGACACTGTGAGTTTCAGCTGAACGTAGATAACTGTGCAAAACTCTTGATTCACCCCTCATTTCTTTATATTCTGCTCCCAAGGAGCCAAAACTTCTTCTGAGTTTTTAAATCTGGTACTAAACAGTCTGGAGGTCTGAACCATTTTCAGACTGTTTTTTTTCTCATATTACTATTATTGTTATTTATTAATCTACTTGACATTAATTTAAGTTTTATCTTCTTCATCAAAGAATAGGCAGTTTCTGTTGAGATAAAGAATGTACAGCACAGTGTGCCGCTCTCCTTGTCTTTGTTAATATGAGTCATTGTAGCTCATCCAACAGTCTCACTCTACATATGAGACATTTTTCCATCCCACCATTATGTGGGGTGGGGCAGTGTCACACATTGCTCAGCATGACAATGATCCCAAACACACTGTTAGTGCAGGAAAAGCATACCAGGGTAGAAAAACACACAGTAAAACTATAACTCAGAAGCACTGTGGGATCATCTGGACAGAGAACAACAGAAGAACATCCAAGGAAGATATTTGAATATCCTTCATGAAGCCTGGAGAATTATTCTTGAGAACTACTTAAAGAAATTACAAGAAAACTGATGAAGACACTGCTGACTAAGTTTAGACTGTGCTGAAGAATGAAGGTGGTCATAACAAATATTGACTTTCATGCTCCTTAGATTTGTGTAAACTCTGTTTTTGACTCACATTCCATGTTTCCATGTATGTGCAGACATATTTCAATAAATCACTGCACTAATTTCCCATGTTCCCAGCGTAAGATAAAGAATGAGGTGTGGCTCAAGGCTTTTGGACAGGATTGTACAATAGTTCATTAATGCTCTGACTACATTTTTCCCTGGTGTAGACACTTTAAAAAACAAAGTGACTGGCGCAAGTAAAACAATAAATCACAAAGTTTCTGTAACACCAAAGGCCATAAAAGGTGAAAAAATGCCAGACTTCCTTACAAAAAGTCACCATTTGAACATTTCAGACAACTTATGATTCATCGGAAATACATTTAAAGGGACAGTTTCACAGACCCAGGTGCAGGTGAGGTATTGACAGCTGTGTGAAAAATATGAGGTGAAACTAAGGTGAATAAATAGGATCCTTTAGGGAACATAAACAACACTGTGCTAATGCGATTATATTGGCTTTTATTAAAGTAAAAGTTCATTTAGACCACTTTTTTATTGTAAATCCAATCCAATCCAATTTTATTTATAAAGCACTTTAAAATACCCAGCACAGGAACAAAGTGCTGTACAGAAAATAAGTTAAAAACAATAGAATAACAGAAAACAGCAAAAATAAATAAATAAAACACATAATACATAAAATTAAAACAGCCCTATATTAAAACAAAAACAAGATGAAACAGCATCGAATCAGCTAAAAACAACTAAAATAAAAATAAAAACCAACATCTCACGTGGTGTCAAAGGCAAGGGTAAAGAGGTGGGTTTTCAAGAGTGACTTAAAAACAGGTAAAGAACTGGCATGTCTAATCTCTAAAGGAAGCTCATTCCACAGTTTTGGAGCTACTACAGCAAAAGCACGATCTCCTCTAAGTTTACGCCCAGTCCTGGGTACATTCAGGAGCAGCTGATCAGCTGACCTGAGAGAGCAGGTGGGTGTATAAGGCTGTAGCAGGTGTATAAGGGCTAGGCCCCATCTTATCTCTGAAGTATCTCTGAAGACTGAAGTAATAATCTCGCTGTTTTAAGTAAGTTCTTTGCATAAGTGCTAATAGTCTTTCTTTCTAACTCTTAGCAAAATAAATAAATAAAAGGGGGCAAAGAGGCAAGCATAGCTTTCCCAAAAAGCGCACCCCTTTTCCCAGGACAGGTCTCTGAGCTTTTCCACAAGTCAGAATGCTCAAAGGTTAAAAAACACACAGTTGCTAGATCTCCTGCTTTGTACAAAAATCTAAAGATAAAAGAAAATGGACATTTTTTATACAAGTTGCTGAGCTTTCTGTCTGGATGTCATTCGGTGCCCTCTTACCTTCTCCTAGGCTTTGGACGTAATATTACAGGATCAATCAGAATTTATATGGAAATGTACAAAAAATGTACTTTAAAAACTGCAAAGGCTCTTGTCCTTACTATTTTGTAGATCATGATTATGATTTAATGGTAAGATTTTTGCCTCATTGCATAATAACATTTGTTTTGAAACATGTTACAGTAAAAATTAGGGAAGCATCTATCTATCTATCTATCTATCTATCTATCTATATACATATATATATATATTAAAAAAGCACTGATTAATGTTCCTTAATTATCTTCACCTCCACAGACAGGCCTCACTGAAGAGCAGCTAAAGTCTCTGGACAGTATATTTGAAGGCACATACAAAGCCAAGTATCCCATTGTGGGCTACTCAGCATCCCGTATCCTGAACGAGGATGGAAGTCCCAACAAAGACTTCAAACCCGAGGACCAGCCTCATTTTCAAATCAAAGATGAATTTTAATGTGATTTCGTGTGGTCACTTTACTTGACAAGAATCGTGATGAAGAAGTTTGATACATGTGCAATAATAGGATAAGCATTATCCTGTTGACTCAAGATTAAGAATTAAATAGCGCTTTAATAGCTTTGACCAGTTTACGGTGCACCAACTACTTTAATACCTGTTGTATCATCTGACTGAGATAAAAAGCGGGGACTTTGGAGTAAGAGTATGCAGATAGTTAACGATCTCCTGGAGACACATTTAAAGAAGTTTAAGCACACACAAGATCAAGATGCCTCCTGCTCCTCTCACAGTGCTCTAAGCCATTTAATTTCATACTCTAAACATTAGGAGCTCAAAGATCCTTGCAAACCTAAAATAATCTTCATGCACTGTAGCTGCAGTGTTTTGTTTTATTTTTGTAAATGAGAGACTGTAGCTGATTATTTTTGTCACTAATTAATTCATTTTTTGAACTCTGTATTTTACTGTGAAACTAAATGAATTATGTGAATGACTCAGTGGAATATTTATGTTTAGGAAACAATAAATCTGCAGCTTTGTTAGTGTTCATCGGTCCACATGTATTCAACTTGTTCGTCCACAATTCCCATTAAAGTCTGAAAATGTTCTAATCTTTTGTTGGTCTCATTTGTGTTCTACCACACACAACTGTGTTACCTTGACACGATCTCTTTATGACAGCCCTCTCTGCTGTCACCTCCAAACAGGCGACATAAATAGATTGTCCGGCCCCTTATAGTCTCGCTTGCTCTGATCAAAGGTCGCAGTACTTAAGGTGCTGAAGCAGGTGATAGTCTTTATGTGGGGTGGGGCAGTGTCACACATTGCTCAGCATGACAATGA